AAAAATATTACAAATGAACTTATTTACAAAACAGAAACAGACTCACAGACATAGAAAACAAACAGCGTTATCAAAGGAGAAAGGAGGGGAGGGATAAATTAGGAGTATGGGATTAACAGAGACACACTACTATATATAAGATAGATAAACAACAAGGATTTACTGTATAGCACAGGGAATTATATTCAATATCTTATAATAGTACATAATGGAAAGGAATCTGAAAACTATAATATATATATATATGTGTGTATATATATATATATATATATATATAACTGAATCACTTTGCTGTATATCTGAAACAGAATATTGTAAATCAACTATACTTCAATTTTAAGAAACCCTGCAAAATGTTGCTGAAAGAAATTAAAGAAGACAAAAACAAATGGAAAGACATCCTATGTTCATGGATTGGAAGATGTAATATTGTTAAGATGTCGATACTACCCTAAGTGATCTATAGATTTAAAGTAATCCCTGTCAAAATCCCAATGATAGTTTTTGCAGGGAAAAAACTCAACAGCATGGGTTCTGTCATCTTCAGGAAGAGCTCTGCACTAAGACATAAAAAATCAGTACAGACATAAATACACAGCACAGGTTTGATATATCCTGCACCCATTCATTCATGGAGTTAACAGTCATTAAGAACAAATTCTACACTATCGCTTTGGTTAAGTTTTAGGCTTCTCCAAAGTGGAAACAAGGAAGTAAAATGTGGAAAGTCTGCTGTACTAAATTCAGATGTTAAATCTAAGAAGAGATGGCTTCTTTCCATTAAGATTTCAACCTGCTCAAGTTTCTTATAAAAGATGATTTAAAAATATGCCCTAAGCTCTAAACCCCTCTTTACATCTAGTTATTGTCCTTTTTACATACTTTCTGCCCCTGCACCAAAGTTGTACGAAGAATTCTCCACACTCAGTTCACATCTCCCTGCACCTCCCCTCCAACTCTGTCTCTATCCCTCATTAATGGGGCTGGGTTCCCCCAACACTTCCACTGAAATTACACTTGCCAACTCAACAACCACCTCTTTGTCACTTCTACTATACATCAAGGATGTTGAAATGATTGTTTAAATACAGACAAACAGGTATTTCCCCAAGAGGAAAGGATTACCTTCCCCCCAAGAATTCGATTGTTTGGATATAGACAGGATCATACTAGAGTGTGATCAGTCACTGAAAAGCTCAGGTTGTGAAATACCTTCCATGGAGAAAGAGTCAGATAATGTGTAGGCGGTGGTCTGAATAATGGGCTTTCAAATGAAGCACACTTTTTCTCTGACATAGCTCATACTTTTGCTTTACTGAAACGGATTTTGTAAATATTTTTAGTGCAAGTTAGCAATAATTATTTGTGGTCACTTCAATAACCTTATCTGGTTTTCATTTCTTTCTCAAGGGATCATTTCTCAAGGGATTACTAGTATGAAATAAAATAGGTGTTCCAAACTCTGCCATGATTAAATATAGTCTGAAAGCATTATGTGATATACCATATTTAGACAATATAATGGTGGGTCTAGGGAACTCTTGCAGTTTCCTGACTGCTAAGTCAAAATTCTTTTACCACATCATAGAAATCATGATGCTGGACCTTCCTCTGTATCCATTAAGTGAAATAAAATAATAAACCCACAAAATAAGTATACATGAATCCATACTGATAAAAATGAATTTTTGAATTAATAAAGAAATGGGTGACAGTAAACTATGTTTATCAAATAGTTCCGCAAAAATCTATATAGATATCTTCCTTCCATGAGGTGAACCTTCCCCCTCCTACTGCTGAGGTCAGGGCAGACTTAGTTACTCATTTCTAAAGACCAGAATAGGCAAACAGAAAACAATTACTGTACACTGGAGAAACTCGACAAACACCACATTAACCCAGTGATGAAGGTCAACATCTCCAATGATCCAGTGACATCATGTGGATACCATCCTCCCAGATATGATGTGACAAGAAGGACACTTCAACTCTTGTGGTATCCTTTCTCCAAACCCAGAACCACAGTCTAATCACGAAAAAAAGAATAGACTATACCTGTACTCTTCAAGACTGTCAGGGTCATGAAAACAGTGTGGCAGTTCCTCAAACAGTTAAACAGAGTTACCACATGGCCCAGCAGTTCCACTCTTAGGGACATAGCCAAGAGAAATGACAACATACATCTACACATAAACTTGTACGTGAATGTATGCAGCATCGTTATTCATAAATGCCAAAAGCGGAAACAACCCAAATGTCCACCAATTAATGCACAGATAAAGAAAATATGGTATATTATTTGACAATAGAAAGGAATGAAATACTGATATATACTACGATATGGATGAACCTTGAAAACATCATGCCAACTGAAAGAAGTCAAATATGGGAAAGAATGGATATTGCACGATTCCATTTATATGAAATGTCCATAAAGAAGCCATCAGTATAGCTGTGCCCAAGGAATTCCGCCCCTCCTTTTAACCCAGACTTCCAGAAAGCTCCGTCTGATGGGTTTGGGCCACAGCCCTGCCCACCCACCTTCTTGTTCACTGTTCAAACTGCAGTTCAAGCTTCTGTCACCAGGTGGCACCAACATGCCACCATCATCCAAGTCTCAGTATACTAAAAGTCTGCAAGAAATTAGAAATACATAACCTCTCTTAAAATCCAGCCTGTGGACCTACCCAGAATGATTCAAATTCAGATTGAGAAAACTGATGGGTGTAAAGGAAGATTGTAAAAACATATACTCCGGGGCCTGCACATGGTGAAACACCAAGTGACAGCAGTGAGCCTTGGTAGTTGATGGTGGCAGGTGAAGGGCAGCTCAGGGTAAGCTGGAGGTGACTAGAGAGAATGGAGAGTTGGAACAGGAGTTGGAACAAGGTCTGGGCAGCTCTGTTCAGCGTCCTGGACAGGGGTTGACAGAAGGAGTGTTTGGGAGTCAGATGGGAAGCCTGTAGAAGAGTAGGGTGGGTAATGGAGGGTGAATGCTGTGTTTCCTGATAGGGACACTCTGTACAGTCTACAGTGCAAATCGGCCAACAGTGATGAAGGAAGAGGTAATTCAGTGAGCATGGTGTAGATTTGGGGTCAACAGCAGATGGAACTGCTTTAATATATTTATGATTATTCCAAATGGAATTGGTACCATGGTAAACAAACAGGTTCATGATAGTTTTACTCTTTGCAAAATGTACAATTTTTCCTTAAAAAATAACAAAAACAGAGGTGAATGTGATGTCACCTGGTGGCTAGATCCACCAGCATTTAAGACTGCAGCTCTGAGAGTCTCAGACCAGAGGGCTCAGGAGGGAGGAGGGAAGCATGGAGGCTGGGAGCTTGACTTAATGGGATCAGTTAGGGTTTTCTGGATTTTCACTTAACTGGAGTAATCCTCTGTATCCATCACTTTTCTAGGATAGGAAAATGCACATTTTCTGGAACATCTAAACGTGAGACTAGATGTCCATCTCCAGTCTGAACTGAGTGTAAAGCTGCAACTGTGAGCATGTACTTGAGGTGGTAGAGCCAGAGGGGACATAGAAACACACACACAGACACACACACAAAACACACACACACACAGAGTCAATTTAACTTTTAAAATCTACTTAATTTCCCCCATTAAATTGAATACTTTCACAAAGTAGTAAGTGTGTGTGCTTTTGTCAATCTGTTCACAAGTATTTTTTTGTCTTCAACGTTTTACCTAAGTGCCATTTTTCTTGAGTACATTTCAAACAATATATGAAAGTATATTTATAGACTGAAATTGTCCTGCAACTCTCACTAGTCCCACTCCTAACACAAAAGGGTCTGTCATCATTGGTGCCTCCTCTCCCGACGTGTCCCTGTAGGTGAAGGCCCGTGATCATAGACACCTGCACATGCTCATGGTCCTTTCCAAGAGACTTCACATTACTCTTTTGCATCTTGCCTTTTCCACATAATGTTAACTCTCAGGATTTAAAAAATATTTTCATGATATTAGTTCCTGTGATTTTAGCGTATTTTAACATGTTGACTATTCCTGTATATTTTCATGTGACTCTCAGTTGAAATTATTTGCCAATTTCTTTGATAGTAAGGATTTTGCACAAATCATGGATCCTACCCCAATATCTGAAGTGTAGTTTGCAAATATTTTACCTGAAGTCGTCACACAATTCTTTGCATTTTTAAATTTAGAATTTGCTTTTTAATTTCAAAAAAATATTGTAACTTACAAAAACCTTTATAATAATAACTTTTTAAAACTTTGGCAACAGCCCCAGGAGAATGTAATGGCATCCTATAGGGAAGTTAAAGCATTCAGAGTCCTGGACGCATAAAAATAAAGTGGAAGAACTTTAGAGTAATTCCAGACTAAGCTGCTGATAGGGGGATGATGAAAAGTGTTCCCTGATTTACATAAGCTCCCCTAAGGTCAGTACCCAGGTATGAATGCTGGTCATAATGAAGGGTAGCTTGAATAGTAGTTTGGATTAAAGGAAATGAAATATAAAGTACAATTTTTAAAAGCAGTTCTTTACATGTCACTTTCGTTCCCTCCAGATGACTTGCCCAGAGTATATGAGGTGTAGCAGGATTTCAATGACCTTTTAAAAGCCGGGACTCAGCAGTAGGAGCCCACAGAGCCTCGGGCTGAGGTAGACATTGTGAAAAGTCATTTCTCACTGTTTCCCTTAATGAGAAGATAGAGATCTTTATGAAGAAATCAAATGTCTCTCTGATATGCCTTGAGTTCAAAGTTTTGGAGTCAGAAGGATCTCTAGGTTCTTGGGAGGCTCAGAAGCTCATAAGAGCTGCCCAACAATGTGCCTCTGAGCAGATCCTAATCCAGTTCCCCACACTGCGGAGACAGGCTTGTCTTTGACTCACCTGATGAGCTCAGTGAGAGATGGCACCAGGGCAGCAAGGTGTGGTGTTTGCCTAACTGCTACTCCTGGAGTGCTCTATGTGTTAATACATTTACAGAAAAATTCTGGACTTACCCCAGTCACCAGTGCAGGGGTCCTCAGATCATTCATCATCCAGCCATGTCACAGTAAGATTCAGCCAACTGCTGTCTCCCTATGGGGCAAAAATTCCAAGAATTATTACCATTTCTCTGATGCACAAGTGTCCATTCTTTCATTCACTAATAACTAAGCATATATTGAGCTCAAAGTCCATACTATTGCATTGGTATTGTCTCCTTAACTCTATAGGAGAAATAAGAGGGTAAGAAGGGAAGTGAATACATGGCAAATTTGGGGCTTAAAATGAGACGAGATTCCTCCTTCATATTAACGTTTAAACTTGCTTAAGTTTCAAGGAATTGAGGATTTTAAAAAATTCCTTCTTGGACCACTTATCTACATTCAGCCACAGTGATTTATTTGTCTCTGCTCCTCTCTCTCTCTCTCTCTCTCTCTCTCTCTCTCTCAGTCTGTGTGTGTGTGTGTGTGTGTGTGTGTGTGTGTGTGTTAATCTCCCCCTTCAAATATGCAGTTCCAAAAAGTGATTCCTACATTCCCTGTTAACATTCCTCATTCCCACTGATTCCTTCTCTCACTGCACTGTAGCTTCTGCTGTCATGATTGCAATGAACGTGCTCTCACCAAGGTCACAAGCTACCCTTTTGTCACTAAGTCCAGATATTCTGTATAAATATATCAATATATGAATACTATTAACGACCACATAAAATAAGCATGCTTGTGCAGATCACTCCTGTCACTTAACATCAAATATTTGACAGTTTCCAGCCCTGAAGTATGAACTGCTGGGTACAAAGCCAAGCTGTCCTGCTCCCTAACTGTGCAGTCCGGGAACAAATCCGTATTCTCCCTGTTTCTCAGGGGTCTTTTTCTAATTAATAGACTATTTTTTAGAGCAGTTTTAGGTATCCAAAAAAATGAGTGAAACATACACTCCCATATACTCCATCAACTCCCTCCCATTTCCCCTATTGTCAGCACTTTGCATTAGTGTGCTACATTTTTTGCAACTCTTGAGTCGATATTGATGTACCTCTATTAATAGTGTTTAAAACCACAGTTTACATTAAGGTTCACTCTTTGTGCCTTATAGTCTATGGGTTTTGCCAAATGTATAATGACATATCCACCACTATGATATCATACAGAATAGTTTTACTGCTCTAAAAATCTCCTGTGCTCCCCCATTCATCCCTCTCTCTCTCCCCTCTGAACCCCTGGCAGCCACTGATCTTTTTGCTGTCTCCATAGTTTTCCTTCTCCAGAATGTCATATCACCATAACCACACAGTATGTAGCCTTTTCAGGTTATCTTCCTTCATTTAGCAATATGCATTTATGCTGCCTCCATGGCTTGACAGCTCATTCCTTTTTATTGCTAAAAATAGTCAATTTATAGATGTACCACACTTTGTCTTGCTATTCACCTTTTGAAATAGATCTTGACTGCTTCCAAGGTTGGCCCAACATCTTCACCAGCATTTGGTGTTGTCTGTATTTTAGATTTTGGCCATTCCAATAGATGTGTAGTGGTATCTCATTGTTTTAATTTGCAATTCCCTAATAACACATGCTATTGAATATCTCTTCTATATGCTCATTTGCCATCTGTATTTTTTTTTGGTGAGGCATCTGTTAAGTTCTTTGCCCATTTAAAAAACTGCATTGTTTATTTTCTCATTGTTGAGGTTTAAGTGTTCCCTGTATATTCTGAATTACAGTCCTTTCTCAGACATGTGTTTTGTAAACTTTTTCTCCCAGTCTATGGCTTGTAATTTCAATCTCAGAACAGTGGTTTTCACAGAGCAGTAGTTTTTAATTTCAATTAAGTTCAACTTACCAATGTTTTCTTTTATAGATTGCATTTTTGGTATTGTATCTAAAAACCCAATGTCATCTAGGTTTTCTCCTATGTTAATTTCTAGGAGTTTTATAGTTTGTGTTTTCCATTTGAATTAATTAATCCAATTCAATTAATTAATTAATTCTAATTAATTCCGTTTGAATTAATTTTTGTGAAAGATGTAAGGTTTGGGTCTACATTTTTTCCCCGCAGGTGGATAGCCAGTTATTCCAGAACCAGCTGGAATGTCCCTCATTTTTAATACATAAAATGGGGATTAGGAACAGCAGATACCTCATAAGAGTGTATAATTCAATATATAAAAATGCTTAGCACTAAATAAATTTTAGCTATTTAAATTTCTGGGAGGCGTCAAATGGACACAGAAGCCAACTTGAAGGGGCTAATACTGGCCAATTCTGTTACAATTGGGGCATGAAAGGAAATAATTATAATGGCAGATAGTAACCCTCTGAGCAAAATAGGAATCTATGAGTCACACCTATGAAATAAATACATGAATAAATAAATAAACGATAGGGCAGAAGGGAAAACTCTACCAACATCTGAATGTCAATTAATAAATCTAGAAGGAATGACAAAATTATAAAAGCAGCACTTAGCAACTAAAATAGTCACGACAGATTCAGGTAAGAATCATGAAAGGATTTTCAGTCTGTACCAAATCCACAGCAATCACTGGGTCACCATGGTAACCATGCTGGACAAGGAAAGCTGGGAAAAAACAAACAGCAACCATCTTGATTTGTTTCCTAATATGTGCTAGGAACTAAGCAGGACTGACATAACACACAATAATTAATCTCAAATATTCCTCACAATAAATATTCCTCATAGCTTCACCAATATATACACACATACATTCAAACACACCCACATTCATACAAGCTTTCTCCCTCTTTTTTTTTTTAACCATCCAAGAAGCCAGGAATTCATCAAGGTGGATTTGTCTGAGGATAAAGAAGAAAACTCCACAATTCAATCCTAACCACATAAAGTATAAAGCTACAAAACTATTTCATTTTAGTGACTGATTTTCTGGAAATGACCTATAGAATTATAATAATCTCTGTGAGAGTTTTCTCCCTTGTTTTGGTACATTGTCAATAACACCTAAAAGCTGACATGGAAATCTAGGTAAGTGAATATTGTGACGGTAAGTTTTATGTGTCAACTTAGCAGGACCACAGTGCCCAGATATTTGATCAAACATTATTCTACATGTTTCTGTGAAAGTGCTTCTGAATGAGGATTACATTTAAATAGGTAAAATTTGGGAAAAGCACTTAGCCCTCCATAATGTGGGTGGACTTCATCCAGTCAGTTGAAGGTCTGGATAGAACAAAGGGCTGACCTTCTCTGAGCAAGAGGGAATTCTGCCAGGACATTGCCTTTGGACTTCATCTACAATATCAGCTTTCCATTCACCAGCAGACTGCCTTCAGACTCCAACTCTAACTCTTTTCTGAGTCTCCAGTTTGCCAGCCTCCCCATCAGGTTTTGTACTTGCCAGCCTATACAATCTCATGAGTCAATTCCTCAAAATAAATCTCTATCTATATATAAACATCCTATTGGCTTTGTTTCTCTGGAGAACTCTAATACAAGAGTGAAGCATCAAGTATTTTTTCCATCCTAGAATAATCTGTGCTTTCTAGCAAAAAGATTACCTAGCAACAGATGTGTACTGACAGACTACTTGTCATTTTGTTGCTGAGAGAAATTAAAGAAGGTATAAATAAATGAAAGGGTATACCATCTTCATGGGTCAGAAGTGTTAGCATTGCTAAGATGTCTATTCTCCTCAAACTGATCTACAGATTCAGTACATTTCCAATAAAAATCACAGCATACATCTTTCAAAAAGAAACTGACAAACATCTAAACATCATGTGGAAATACAAAGGGTTTTCACTATGAAAAACTAACTTTGAAAAAGAAGAACAAATTTGGAGAATTAGCATTACCTTATTTCAAGACTCATTATAAGTCTACGGTATCCAAGAGAGTATGGAATAAAGGTAGAAATGTATATAAAAGGAAAAAATGAAGAGTACAGAAATAGACCCACACACATATGGACAACTAATTTTTGACAAAGGTACAAAGAAAATTCAGTGGAGAAAGGACAGTCCTTTCAACAAATGGTATTGGGACAAGTGCATATCCATATGCCCAAATAAAAACTGTAATCCATATAATGCATCATACACAAAAGTCAACTCAAATGAATCACAGACCTAAATACAAAAGCTAAAACTATAAAAATTCTAGAAGAAAACACAGGAGAAAATTCTTGTGATCCCAGCTTAAGTGAACACTTCTTAAACACAACATGAAAAGCAGAATCAAATCCATAAATGAATAAACTGATAAACTAGACTTCTTCAAAATTAAAGAAAAAAACTGTTCTTCCAAACACAGTTGAGAGAATTAAAAGACAAGTCTCTGACTAGGAGAAAATATTTACAAATCATAGATCTGACAGAAGAATTGTATACAGAATTTTAAAATCTCAGAAGGTCAATAAGAAAAAAATAAGACACTCTAATAAATAAGTGGTCAAAGATCTACAACGTCAGATAATCACAAACAGATACTTAACATCATTAGTCATTGGGGAAGCATAATCCCACTACACCCCTCTAAGAAAGGCCAAAATTAAAAGGCTGACCATACCAAGTCTTGGCAAGATTGTGGAGGATGGAAGTCTCACACATTGCTGGTGGCAATGAAAAATGCTGCAGCCACTTTGAAAAACAGATTGTCAGTTTCTTACAATGTTAATCTTACAACTGCCATATGACCCAGCCATTAAAGTCGTAAGTATTCACCAGTAAAGAAGGAAGCATATACCCAAGCAAAGATTTATACACCAATATTCATAGCAGCTTTATTTACAAGTGGCCCAAATTGGAAATAAACCAAACATCCAATACTAGGTAAATGGACAGAACAAACTATGGTATATCCACATAATGCAACATTACTCAACAGCAAAAAAGAGCAACTATTTGTATGTGCAACAAATGGATAAATCCAGAAATAATTAAGTTGAAAGAAAGAAGACAGACAAAATAAGAGTACACACTGTATGATTCCTTTCATATGAAATTATAGGAAAGGAAAACTAATTTACAGTGACAGAAGACCAGTGGTTGCCTGGGAATGGGGTAGGGTGACTTGGAGAGGGAGGCAGGAGATAGTAGGTGGGGGCATTACAAAGTAGCATAGAGAAATTTTGAGGTGACGGATTTGTTCATTATCTTGACTGTAGTATTAGATTTATAGGTGCATATATATATCAAAACATTAGAGCACATACTTTAATTACACACAGGGTATATTGTATGTCAACTATACCTCAACAAAGTATTTGAAATATATTTATATATCCATAATTCTGATGTAATGAAATTAATCAGGTGAAATATTCCCAGGATTATGCTCATGTAGTATTAACAGGTCCACACTACGTTTTATCAAATTGGTCCCCAACCAAAATAGAAATAATCATTTGTAATGTAATATATCCAAATACCTATAGAAAGTTGATGTCCATTTCCTCTGAAGTATAAAAATAAAAATATTAAATCCTAGGAGAATAATCATAGTGATATTTAAGAGCAAGTAGATATTTTAGGGAATAAGGGTGAGTATTATTATAATTGGGCAAACTCCAGAGTAAGATATTTTTTTTTAATATTAAGTTCTAGTAACTAACATTTTAAACTAACAGCTGGAAAATGTTTGACTCTAAAAATCTCATTATACAACAGAAAAACACTACAGGCACAAGGGAAGAATGTGCATTACAATGTCAAATAGCTAAGTAGATCTAACAGTTGCATATTTCCACATCCACCTATGAGATACATGGAATTCCTGATATTATTTACATGGTTAAACAGTTTAGGGATATTTACTGAAAATCCATGTTCAATCAAAATTCCTTCTCCAACTGAACCATTTACTGCTTTTCAAAAAAAAAAAGGCATCTCTAAGATGGACCTGAAGGGCTACTAAAAAATTGCTGATAGAATGAAATTCCACCTGCTAAAAACCTCGTTCCCATGATGAGATCAAGGTAGCTTCCCTACTTCTAGGCTAGTTTGTGAGCCTCACAGGAGCTATTCTACAGCATGTTTTTGTTCAGATCTATGAACTCACTTGAGTCAGGTGTCATATTCCACCAAAGATGTGAAGTGTTGGGGGTCTCCTGGAAGCCGCTGCCCTTGAACCTGGAGTAGGAGCTTCAGGAGCCATCAGGACACAGATCCTCAGAACCTGCCTCCTTCAAACACCTGATATGAGCTGGGCCACCGGCATGAGGATCAGCATTCCTTCTCTTTCCCTTGTCTATCCCCTAACAACAAAGTTGAAAAGGAGTAAGTGGCCTGAATTCATACAGACATTCATGATCCCGCAATAACCACAGAGCCATCGACTTACTCCTGTGTTATCACTGAAACGTTTACACTGATCCTGTGGGTAAAGCATTCTCAGCCCCATTTTACAGAAGGGGAAACTGAGGCTCAGAGTCGTTACCTGTCTCACTTCCAGCGCCCCTGCCCTTAGAAGGAAAGTGGCTCCAGGACACCCCTGGAGGAGGACACCGCACTCACTGGTGCCCGGGGTGGGGGTGGGGGTGGGGGTGGGGGGGCGTGAGGACCCCAATGTCTTTACGTACAAGACAGCCGGGGCACCGAGTCTCAAAGCAGGAAAGGGAGACTTGGATATGGATCCCTTTGTCTCCCCACACCCCAGGACGGCCCAGCCCCCACCGCGGGGACCTACACCCTCAGCTGAGTCTCAAACACCTGATGGAGGGACCTGGCTCCTCACCAGGCAGCGTCCGTCTCCTTTAAAATGTCGTCACGGTCGCCGTATTGACGTCAGGTTTCTACGGCAACCGCCAGGCGCCAGCAAGTCTTCCAGATGCGAAATACCTCCTCATACTTCTCTACCGCCACACCTTTAGTTGAAAGCAAAACGCCTTACATCTTCAGGCTGCCACGTGAGAAAGCATTTTAATTAGAGACACGAGACCGGGACTTGGGCAATTGGTGGAACTGTGCTTAATTTGCTGGAACAAAGAAAGTCCCAGTCCTCAGAAGCTTTGCTTACTTGAAAAAAGACAGTCAGGGAGTATTATCACTGTACAGAGAATGGGGAAATATCCTAGGATTCTAGACGATGAGCTAGCCCTCCTGAAGGTGGACTTGTAAAATCACAGGACATGTTAAGCAGTTAGCCATCTGTGGTAGAGAAATAAAAGACTGTCTATAGTCATGTGACTGAATCATCTATAGATACATATACAAAAATGTCATTTAAGAATTCAGTTATTTCAGGGAGGCAGACCTAAAATATCATTTAGTAGGCAGAGATCTATGTCAATTGGTTTTTCCTGGGGAATTCTCAGCCTCCATTCCTGATGTTTTCTTTCATGTGGAGAAAATATGTTCCTTTACATATATTCTTTCCCCAAATTATTACATTATACTTATTTTTAAGCAACTTGTCTTTTTAATTCAGCATGATAGCCTAGGATATTAATTTGTATAGTAATTTGATATATCTTTTAATGTTAACTCAGGATGTATATTAATTATTATATGAATTATCTGTTCATATCATTTGACTATTTCTCTATTCATTAGTAAGACTTCATTCCATATCCAAGATATTAAGTAGGCTAATTAGGGATTTAGTATAAAAGTACCACTAGAACAAAAAACAACCATTCTAAATACTAAATGAAAAGAGAACAGATAAAACACACAGTATATATATGAATGTATGTATACACACAATGTTAAATTAGCAAATAAAGGATGACACCTACTGTGTTTATGACTAAGTCTGTGTGTGTGCAGTGAAAATATGCAAAACAGTATTATATTTTGTTTAGAGAAATTCTCATATGGTGTAAAAGAATGCAGCAATGCATGGAAGTGATAATCATCTCCTTCTGAATAAGGATTATCTCTAGGGAAGAAAAAGAGTAAAGATTTTTTAACCTAGATTAATTTGATAGCTCTATATGTTTTTAACTGAAATATTTCATAAGTAGCAGAGCTTTTAGGGGATATAGTTTTTATCATAAATATAATTCATACTCATTTTAGAAAATGCTTAATATCAAGCCAAGTGCAAAGGTTAAAAATATTAATACCCAGCAATTTCATCATGATTGAAATTCACATTGTGCTATTTCATTCCATTGTTTTTTTGTTCATGAATGTATGTACATGTAGTATATATACATTACATACACAATTCATATAACTATTATCATACTATATGTACAGATTAGGATCATGTGGTTTGGGGTTGTTTTTTTGTTTTTCTCTGACCTTAACTTTTATCTTAAAAACTAACAAGTGGATGAATTATTATGATTAAATGACAAGGATAAATATGACCTAATTTTGCTTCTTAATGTACCCTTTAGCAGCTGACCCAACCCTGATTCTTAAACAATGCATCTGATTGGAAAAGCCATACCTGTAGCATAATAAATAATATGTCTGGGTCTGCTCATTAGTTTTCTATACAGTTCCTTTAATCTGTATTTCAACCACTTTATCCGAACTTTATAAAATTATAAAAATCATGGAACATTGTAACACCTGGCAATTTAATCCTCACTCCTATAAATCACCCTTTCAATGGTGATAGGAGTAATAATATTATAACTTTTATTAATATTGAACAATAATAAAAGATACCAAAAATTAAAGGGCATATAAGCAGATAAATTGCTTGCTTTTGATCATGCAACCAGCAAATAATATTTCCCTGCATCACATCCCTGTCCTTCTGACCCTTAAGACCACTGTTTATACATTGAGTGTCTTCTGCATTGGGTTGGAGGCCAACAATAGGAAGGGACTCACCTAAGGCCCTGTGGTCAAAGGATCCAGCAACTGGGACACAAGTTTCATGACTCTCATCTTCTGTCTAGCTGACCCGTTCCTATTCTTTTCTCTTCTGTACTATTTCTTCTTCCTGGGGCTCAATAAGAAATTGCTTCACCCATATCAAACTAGAAAGAAAATAAGAGACCAGAAAACATATGGAATAAAAGGAATAATGAGATAGAACCAGTATTCACTTCTTGTGGCTACATTTCCAGGTGCACTTTTTTCAAATCTTTTCTTCTATGGTACATAGGTATTTTTTCTCGGAACCAGGAATCTCTTTCCTAAGACTCTATTCAAGAGATGCCATAAAGACAAAAGGCAGAAGTACAAAGCCATTTCTCGCAGAACAAATCGTAACAGCAGAAGGCCAAAAATAAGACGGATGTCTACTGATGAGGGACTGGCTGAATAACCTAAGGTCCATCTACATCCTAGACAACTATGCATCTATAAAAGCAGTGAAGACTCCCTCTCCAGACTGCTGTAGAGTTATCGCCAGGATATATTGTTAAGTGAAAAGCAAGGGTGCAGAAAAATGTGTAGAGCAGCTGTTATTCAATATGGTAGACACCAGTCACACATGACAATTTAAATTTAAGTTAATTCAATTTAGATGAAATAAAAATTTTAGTTCCTCGGTCACATTCACTACATTTCAGATGATCCACAGCCACAAGTAGTCAGTGGCTACTGTGTTGGATTATGAAGACATGGAATATTTTCATCTCCGCAGAAATTTCTGTTGCCCAGTACTGGTGTAAAATATGCCATCTTTTACCTATGAAAGGGGAGAAAACTAACATCCATGTTATAGTTGCTTGTATTTTTGAAAAGTGTAGGAAAGTTAAAACCAAAAAAATGACCAAAATGATTACCTCTAAGGTGATAGAGGAGCAGTCTGGATGGAAAGAGATGATATATAACCTCATTAAAAAATATATTACATACTTATAGGTTCCGTGTACCAAAAAGGGCAAGAAACAATGACCAACACAGTGGCAATGAGCAACTCTAGTCCTCAGATTGAATCTCCTAAACATATTTCCCACTAAAGGAAACCAACTTCCTTGGAGAAATGGTTGAGGAGGGAGGCAGGGAGAAAGGGAACTGAAACCCAGACCTATTGTCTAGAGACTTCTTTAAAGGTTTAAAATTAACCTGTTCAAAATTAACAACCAGGCTCAGGAAACACTTTTGCTTAAGTAATGGAAAAAGCTATCCTAAAGGAACAGAAAGCCCTGACCTGATCTAATCTGTATGACCACAATGTTTGAGGGTCCAGGTTGCTTAATCTTGCTTTTTTCAAACTGTTTGTTTCACAGAGCAGAACTAACTGGAGGAATAAGCACAAAAAGGGGCAGTCAATGAGAAGGAGACAAGAAACCACAAGAAGATGAATAAAAGGACCCAGTTGAGACCCCAAAAGTGGGATTTCTTATGTTAAGCTACTTGGCTTATGGCTGCCTCACTCAAGTGCCTTCTCTCCCTCTGAGCAATAAAGCAGCTTTTCACTTTGTCCTTCTGCTCTGCTGGGAAATCTTTCAAAGTCCACAGCAAGAATCCACTCTTTTGTGGGCTTCCCCTATTCTGGAAAGGGGGAGGTCTTTCTATCCACTAACAGTTGATTCCAGGTCTATGTAAGGAGTTAACTAGATAAGCCTGGACTGAACTCTCACACTAGAAAGCATGTCAAAGACTCATAAGCCAACTAAAATAGGCTCCACTGGCCAAAGATAGAACAATTTGAGTGTCAAATAAAATAATGAGTGCAATGAATTAAAACATCAAATGTAGGAAAAGCTGGAGTTCATGATGATATTCTAAAAGAAAAAACAAAACCCAACAAATCCAACTCTTAATCACCTTTGGAAGGAAGCAATTAATTATTTTGAAATGTGGAAATATTACCAAAGACTTGTCAGGGAAGAAGTGTTGGCTGAAAAAAAAATGTACAACCTAAAAGTTGAGAATTATGTTTAATTTGGCAGACTTTCTGAGGACTTCCAGCCCAGGAGGCAGCCTCTCAGATAGTGCTGAGGGACTGCTCCGAAGAGGTAAGGGAGCAGCCAGGATATATAGAGTTTTGCAAGAAAAAATGGGTAGTTGGAACATCAAAAGATGACTTAATTACAGAAAACCAGACATCTCAAGTTAATAAATTTAACACTTTTCTGTGTGGGGGAAGATGCAAGAGTCTGGGCTTACCTAAATCCTTCTTTTGATATGCACTTAGCTATCTAGGGCCAGTATCCTGTTCTTTCCCATCCTGAGTCCTCTCAGGGTGCATATTAGGGGTGGCTTCAGTGGCTGGGGCCTGGCAGTGGGCAGCCCCTTTGTCTCCATACTGAGTTCCCTCGGGCTCACCATCAGGCGCTGCAGTAGTGGATAGCAGGCAATACTTTTCATTCATAGAAAAAAATTTCCTTTACCCTTCCAGGTTCCTCTGACTGGTCTAAGAATTAAATTGACATGAGACAGATTAACAGAAGAAAATCAAACAAAATTTTATAACATGTACACAAGGAAGAAACCCAGGAAAACTGAGTAAATGAGTAAATGAGTAAACTCACCAAAATGGCTGAAAGCCTCATCTTAAACACATCTTCAGCTAAAGACTAAAGAGGATTTTGGGGGTAGTGGTTTGGGATTTCAAAGAGAAAGAAGGCAATTCACATGGAGATGGAAAAGCGAATGTTTGGTAAAGAAATGTTTTCTGGGCTATGCAGAGACCATGAGACACAGAGAGGACTCTGATCTCTAGGGCCTGCGTAGACTTTCCCCCACCACATCTAGCCCATCCTCTTTCCAGACATCTCGGGTGATAGCTCTATTTTGGAAACAGGCACTTTATCTAAATTCTTTGGCAGCTAAGGGGGACATAAAAAGTAAGACTTCCCAAGCCTTCTGTTTCCTAAAAATAATCAGCCTCAAATAATCCTCAAGCCAAAGAGGCACATTTTGGGGGGGGCAACTTTTGCTCCCCTAAAGAAATAAACATTCATCCTATCCTTCCTGTGCAAACCATACCTCAGTGGAACTTAATAGCTGATATGGAGAAGTTCCTTTAATAGAAGAATTCCAGGAAATAAATGCAGAAGAAAATGTACAGTTTTAACATCATCCCTTTGAAACTTTTAACTGAAAAAAAACGTACAATGTAAGAGTTGTGAGTTGAATTTTATTCAGTTTATTCAGAGTCTTACTGAGGACGATAACCTGGGAGATAGACTCTCCTCAGCTCTGAGGAACTGCTCTGAAAAGGTAGGGAGAGAGGCCAGTATATGTATGATTTTGGCTAAGGAATACATGTAGTCCTGTACAAATCTCGGTAGAAGGTCACTGCTAGTCACAAGGAACAGGTATCTCAGTTGATGATTTCAGTGCTTTTCTATTGATGAAGTAAAATTTATATTTTAAGGCTGGGCAAGGAAACTTAAGCATAACATTCTCTTTGTGTGCCTGTTTGGACCTCCTGCCTCCCCCTTTAGTGTGCAAGGTGCATGTGCATTACATATTAACCAGGCCTCCTCAAATGTGGAAATGCCTGTTTGACTGTAAAGATTCTTCTGACATTAACAGTGTAATTTCTTTAAAAATTAGCCTTCTTTCCCAACTCTGTAAGGGGTCATGGTGACTTGCTGCTCTATTTGTACATGCTTATCTGGATTATGTACCTTTGGTAAACTCTACATAAAAATGTCAATATGTCATTTTGATGTACAATCCTTTGTCTCAAAAATGTTTAACTGTGCCTTTGACTTTGAGCAAGCAGAACAGCTCTCAGAGCTTGAGAGTCTGTCACCAGGGTTATAATCCTCAGTTTAGCATGAATAAAATTCTCTTTTTTTTCTTGATTGTTAATTGAATTTTTGTCAACACCATGTATGGGAATATGCAAGAATCCCAAGATCATAAAAGTTTTTTCCTGAAATATACCTAACTTTCTAAAGGGCCTGTTTCCAAAGCACAGAGTGCCTCATCCTGTTCTTAGTCCTGAATTCCTTTCAGGGATATACTGTAGATCTGCAACTGTAGTAGCTAATGACTTAGTTTTTGTAGAACTGGATGGTGAGCAACATTCCCTGATTTACACAAACTCTAATGAAATGAAGATCTAGGCAATCATCTGCAGAGGCTGCAAAAAACATGAGGTGAAAAGCATAGGTGAAATTTTATAAAGGATGGATCAGGCTGACAACACCTGAACCTGTGAAAGAAAAAAACAAATTGGTATCAGTATTGCCAAGAGAGCTCTCTAAAATGGAGCCGGGAGGACACTGAGGAAGTGTGATGTATGCACATCTCAGCCTGAATGGAATCTGACCTTTTGACCATTTGTTGGGCTGCACCCCACAAACCTTGTAGTTGCCCAGCTGTAAGACAAGAAAGAGCCCAGAGTCAGTGACAGAGACAGCAATGGTTTTTTTGAATACGGAACCTTACATGTCTGAAGCAAGGTCCTAGAGCAACACCCCACTGCAGGTGGCAGATGGCAGGCAGGACATGGCAGTAGTCTTCACTACGGGGAAGTGGTGGGGACATTACTGTGGAGTTTGAGGACAAGAAAGAGGCCCCATAGGGAGCCAAAGTGGGCGCCAGTCACAAGACGTCTGCCTGCACCCCACTCACATCATGAAGACATAAACCAGAAAACACAAAGAACATTCCTGTCCCAACATGTAAAGTAATAGCTTGGGAACTAGCTTCTGTGGGGTCCATAGACATCTGTCAGATCCCTGCTCCAAGGCCCCTCAGGTGCCCAGCTGCTGGCCTTTAAAGATAATAAAGACTTAGCAGAGAGAATGATCATCTATACAATGCCTGGAAGCCTGGAAGCCTGACCTCCAGAACTGGTCTAAATGCTCTACCAAAATCCCTAGCCCTACCCTTTCACAACATCCTCCTTGCCTGTTACCACAAAATCAATCAATCAGAGAATTGTGCACAACTGATCACATACCCTGCGACTCCCTTTGAGCCTGATGTCACATAAGCACAAGGAGTTAAAGTGTAATAGAAAAGACCAAATCTAACTCCATATTAGATCTGTTTCTTTGGCTTTAACCCTGTGCTCTGTTTCCTAGGCTTAGTCTTGCTGGTTCTGCATCTTTTGTAAAAGAAT